TGTGAAGAGAGCTTTGGTGCCATGTCTTGTGGGGTATGCATGGGTGTCCGAGCTGTGTGCTAGTAGTTTAAACAGACACCTCGGTGCATTCAGCATGTCAACACTTCTTACAGAAACTAGTAGTGATGAAGTCAATCTCTCTTCCACTTTGAGCCATAAGATGTATTCATGTTAGCTCTCCGTGTACATTTACGGGCCAGCCGTGCTGCCCTGTTCTGAGCCAATTGTTATTTTCCGTGGTCCCTCTTTGTGGCACCTGACCACACGACTGAACAGTAGTCCAGGTGCAACAAAACTAGAGCCTGTAGGACCTGCCTTGTTGATAGTGTTGTTAAAAAGGCAGAGTAGCGCTTTATTATGGACTTCTCCCCATCTTAATGTGGCTCGCGAAAGTATTCACCCACCCCCCTTGGCATTTTTCCTATTTTGTTGCCTTACAACCTGGAATTAAAATGGATTTACAATTTAAATTTGATTTACACAACATGCCCACCACTTTGAAGATGCAAAATATTGTTTTTTGTGAAACAAACATGAAATAAGACAACAAAACAGAACTTGAGCGTGCATAACTATTCACCCCCCCCCCCCCCCCCAAAGTCAATACTTTGTAGAGCCACCTTTTGCAGCAATTACAGCTGCAAGTCTCTTGAGGTATGTCTCTATAAGCTTGTCACATCTAGCCACTGGGATTTTTGCCCATTCTTCAAGGCAAAACTGCTCCAGCTCCTTCAAGTTGGATGGGATCCGCTGGTGTACAGCAATCTATAAGTCATACCACAGATTCTCAATTGGATTGAGGTCTGGGCTTTGACTAGGCCATTCCAAGACATTTAAATGTTTCCCCTTAAACCACTCAAGTGTTGCTTTAGCAGTATGCTTAGGGTCAATGTCCTGCTGGAAGGTGAACCTCCATCCCAGTCTCAAATCTCTGGAAGACTGAAACAGGTTTCCCGCAAGAATGGCCCTGTATTTAGCACCATCCATCATTACTTCAATTCTGACCAGTTTCCCAGTCTCTGCCGAGGGGAAAAACATCCCCACAGCATGATGCTGCCGCCTCCATACTTCACTGTGGGATGGTGTTCTCGGGGTGATGAGAGGTGTTGGGTTTGCGCCAGACATAGCAATTTCCTTGATGGCCAAAAAGCTGCATTTTAGTCTCATCTGACCAGAGTACCTTCTTCCATATGTATGGGGAGTCTCCAACATGCCTTTTGGTGAACACCAAACGTGTTTGCAAATTTTTTCTTTAAGCAATGGGTTTTTTCTGGCCACTCTTCCATAAAGCCCAGCTTTGTGGAGTGTACGGCTTAAAGTGGTCCTATGGACAGATACTCCAATCTCCGCTGTGGAGCTTTGCAGCTCCTTCAGGGTTATCTTTGGTCTCTTTGTTGCCTCTCTGATTAATGCCCTCCTTGCCTGGTCCGTGGGTTTTGGTGGGTGGCCCTCTCTTGGCAGGTTTGTTGTGGTGCCATATTCTTTCGATTTTTTTAATAATGGATTTAATGGTGCTCCGTGGGATGTTCAAAGTTTTGGATATTTTTTTTATAATCCAACCCTGATCTGTACTTCTCCACAACTTTGTCCCTGACCTGTTTGGAGAGCTCCTTGGTCTTCATGGTGCCACTTGCTTGGTGGTGCCCCTTGCTTAGAGGGGGGCCTTTCAGAACAGGTGTGTATATATACTGAGATCATGTGACAGATCATGTGACACTTAGATTGCACGTAACTAATTATGTGACGTCTGAAGGTAATTGGTTGCACCAGATCTTATTTAGGGGCTTCATAGCAAAGGGGGTGAATACATATGCACGCACCATTTTTCCGTTATTTATCTTATAAAATTTTTTGAAACAAGTAATTTTTTTTCATTTTACTTCACCAATTTGGACTATTTTGTGTACAGTGAGGGGAAAAAAGTATTTGATCCCCTGCTGATTTTGTACGTTTGCCCACTGGCAAAAAAAATTATCAGTCTATAATTTTAATGGTAGGTTTACTTGAACAGTGAGAGACAGAATAACAAAAAAATCCAGAAAAACGCATGTCAAAAATGGTATAAATTGATTTGCATTTTAATGAGGGAAATAAGTATTTGACCCCCTCTCAATCAGAAAGATTTCTGTCTCCCAGGTGTCTTTTTATACAGGTAACGAGCTGAGATTAGGAGCACACACTCTTAAAGGGAGTGGTCCTAATCTCAGCTTGTTACCTGTATAAAAGACACCTGTCCACAGAAGCAATCAATCAATCAGATTCCAAACTCTCCACCATGGCCAAAACCAAAGAGCTCTCCAAGGATGTCAGGGACAAGATTGTAGACCTACACAAGGCCGGAATGGGCTGCAAGACCATCGCCAAGCAGCTTGGTGAGAAGGTGACAACAGCTGGTGCGATTATTCGCAAATGGAAGAAACACAAAAGACCTGTCAATCTCCCTCGGCCTGGGGCTCCATGCAATATCTCACCTCGTGGAGTTGCAATGATCATGAGAACGGTGAGGAATCAGCCCAGAACTACACGGGAGGATCTTGTCAATGATCTCAAGGCAGCTGGGACCATAGTCACCAAGAAAACAATTGGTAACACACTACACCGTGAAGGACTGAAATCCTACAGCGCCTGCATGGTCCCCCTGCTCAAGAAAGCACATATACAGGGCCGTCTGAAGTTTGCCAATGAACATCTGAATGATTCAGAGGAGAACTGGGTGAAAGTGTTGTGGTCAGATGAGACCAAAATTGAGCTCTTTGGCATCAACTCAACTCGCCGTGTTTGGAGGAGGAGGAATGCTGCCTATGACCCCAATAACACCATCCCCACCGTCAAACATGGAGGTGGAAACATTATGCTTTGGGGGTGTTTTTCTGCTAAGGGGACAGGACAACTTCACTGCATCAAAGGGATGATGGACGGGGCCATGTACCGTCAAATCTTGGGTGAGAACCTCCTTCCCTCAGCCAGGGCATTGAAAATGGGTCGTGGATGGGTATTCCAGCATGACAATGACCCAAAATACACAGCCAAGGCAACAAAGGAGTGGCTCAAGAAGAAGCACATTAAGGTCCTGGAGTGGCCTAGCCAGTCTCCAGACTTTAATCCCATAGAAAATCTGTGGAGGGAGCTGAAGGTTCGAGTTGCCAAACGTCAGGCTCGAAACCTTAATGACTTGCAGAAGATCTGCAAAGAGGAGTGGGACAAAATCCCTACTGGGATGTGTGCAAACCTGGTGGCCAACTACAAGAAACGTCTGACCTCTGTGATTGCCAACAAGGGTTTTGCCACCAAGTACTAAGTCATGTTTTGCAGAGGGGTCAAATACTTATTTCCCTCATTTAAAATGCAAATCAATTAATATTTTTTTTTATATGCGTTTTTCTGGATTTTGTTGTTGTTATTCTGTCTCTCACTGTTCAAATAAACCTACCATTAAAATTATAGACTGATCATGTCTTTGTCAGTGGGCAAACGTACAAAATCAGCAGGGGATAAAATACTTTTTTCCCTCACTGTATGTCCATTACATGAAATCCAAATAAAAATCTATTTAAATTACAGGTTGTAATGCAACAAAATAGGAAAAACGCCAAGGGGGATGAATACTTTTGCAAGGCACTGTAGCGACTGTTGTATCAACATGTTTTGACCATGACAATTTACAATCCAGGTTTACTCCAAGCAGTTTAGTCACCTCAACTTGCTCAATTTCTACATGATTTATTACAAGATTTAGTTGAGGTTTAGGTTTTAGTGAATGATTTGTCTCAAATACAATGCTTTTAGTTTTTGAAGTATTTAGGACTAACTTATTCCTTGCCACCCATTCTGAAACTAACTGCAGCTCTTTGTTAAGTGTTGCAGTGATTTCACTCGCTGTAGTAGCTGACGTGTATAGTGTTGAGTATGCGCAAACATAGACACACTGGCTTTACTCAAGGCCAGTAGCATGTCATTAGTAAAGATTGAAAAAAGTAAGTGGCCTAGACAGCTGCCCTGGGGAATTCCTGAATCTACCTGGATTATGTTAGAGAGGCTTCCATTTAAAGAACACCCTCTGTGTTCTGTTAGACAGGTAACTCTTTATCCACAATATAGCAGAGGGTGTAAAGCCATAACACAAGTTTTTCCATCAGCAGACTATGATCGATAATGTCAAAAGCCACACTGAAGTCTAAAAAAACTGCTCCCACAATATTTTTATCATAAATTTCTCTCAGCCAATAATCAGTCATTTCTGTAAGTGACGTGCTTGTTGAATGTCCTTCCCTATAAGCATGGTGAAAGTCTGTAGCATTGTATTTGTTTACTAAGGGATGGTAACAGGCTGATTGGTCGGCTATTTGAGTCAGTGAAGGGGTTTTTACTATTCTTTGGTAGCGGAATTACTTTTGCTTCCGTCCAGGCCTGAGGGCACACACTTTCTTGTAGATTTATATATGACTGTAAGTCGCTTTGGATAAAAGCATCTGCTAAATGGCTTATTATTATTATTATTATTATTATTATTATTAATCATAATAATAATAATAATAATAATACCTGCTAAACTTTGTACTCGACCAATACAATTGTATTTTATTGATGGCTGTTTCCTCGTCTCCTCACTCTGCTGCCATCCGCCTCCGCCGCATTGTTCTCAACACCAGTTTAAATCAAGATACTGTCTAGGAATCTGGCTTTTTTTTGGGGGGGGGGGGTTGGGCTCATTTCATTTCTGTGATGTTGGGCCGGGCCTGGGCTCGGGCATCAGCTCATGGACTCGAATTTTCAAGCCTGATAAGAACTTTAGCGGTCACTCACTCTCTCTGAATTTGTCAAACTATTCTACAAGCTACACTACAAAATGACCCAGCACTATCAAGCGTTCTTTGAGTGACTGCTTTGTTTGAACAGGTCATTAAAACTACTGTTGATACCAGAGTTCCCAAGCTCTCATTGTCCACCCTGCTCTGACATGCATTGTAGCGTTCCGTTGATGACCCTTTCCATTTCCACAGGAAGTGCAGATGGAACCCATCATGTTCGACGCCCTGAAGGACCCGAGGAAAGGCAGACAACGCTGCAAGAACCAGGGGAGGGAGATGCTTCCGTCAGCTCATCTACCAATCAGAGCAACTATGGACTACGTGAAGAGTAAGCCCATAGCAAAAGCCAACAGTAAGCCGCAGCTTACAGCTAGAACTAGCCTACTGCAACCAATACTAATATACAGTACAAAGGTGAAAATAAAATTCTGTCTCTTTGACAGATTTGACTAATAACATAATCATTGAAGTTTTGACTGACTTATTGATTGATTGACTGATTGTATTACTGATAAGTTTATCAACTGACTGATTGATTCTTTAATTGATTGGCTGTTGTATTTGTATTGTTCCAGAAGGGGAGCTGAGAGCAGCTATGATCCATTGGGACGAGGCGCAGGGCCACCTGAAGAAGATGCGTTACCATGACGGCCGTCTCCTGGTGGACGAACCAGGCCTGTACTCCGTCTACGCCAAGACCTGTTTCCGCTACTACGACCTGGGACCTGAGACAGAGCCCGGCGGTGCCCCTGAACACGCCATCGCCACGCCCCAGGCCGTGGACGTAAGCAACGCCCAGCTCATCCAGTACATCTCCCACGAGAAACACACATCCCTGCCCAGCAAGTCTGTGGTGCTGATGAAGACAGGCAGCACCATGCACTGGAATAACTCTCAGTATAACATGTACTGTGCCCAGCAGGGCAGGGGGGTGATGCTACAGCAAGGGGATGGACTGTTTGTTAATGTGTCCAATGCCTGGATGCTGGATCCTGAACCAGAGGGGACGTACTTTGGGGCGATCAAGATAGGGAACTGAAACCGCGTACAGAGGAGGAGGAGGATGTGCTACTGAACGTTCTGTAGACGTAACTGCCAAAGAACCACTGAGAGATAGACAGAGCACTTGTTGTATGTAAGATTACTGAATTTGTATTTGATTTGTTTTTGTTTTTTATTGAAAGGAATGGGCTATGTTGCTCTTCACCAGATAGAGAATTAAGATACGCAGTCATTTAGGTGAGGTGTTATGGATACCTCCGGTCACTCACTAGGCCTTCAACAAATCCCATATGCCGTTCATACACTTAACCTGTTCCTTATGGTCCAAAACGGCACTGGATGCTTTTTAGTTTAACATTTTACACAGTTGATAGTTATCAACCATTTTAGATTGTTGATATTTGTCATTCCAGGGAGCACTTTTGAAAAATGTTTTTAGAATGTTTTTCCAAGCATAGCAGTGTGAATTCTATCTTCTGTTTATCAACCGACACAAAGTCATTCCTCATCGCTAGTCTGGCCCCTCATAGTTTACATAACATTGTCATCGTCTTCAACAGAAGCACAACTGGGGTATTTTGTTTATAACTGAGGAGAGTTTCCACCAGTGAACTCTTTAGTACACTCTTAGAAAAAAGGGTTCTTCGGCTGTCCCCATAGGAGAACCCTTTTTGGTTCCAGGTAGAACCCTTTAAAAGTGCTATCTAGACCCTAAAAGGGCTTTTCAGCTGTCTCTATAGGAGAACCCATAGGAGAACCCCTTTGGTTCCAGGAAAGGGTTCTATGTGGAACTCAAAAGGGTTCTACCTGAAACCAAAGGGGTTCTTCAAAGGGTTCTCCTATGGAGACAGCCGAAGAGCCCTTTTAGGGTCTAGATAGCACTTTTATTTTGTTCTTATTTTTTGTACCCGCTTTTTCTCCCCAATTTCATGATATCCAATTGGTAGTTAATGTAAATGTAAAATGTAGTTACGATCTTGTCTCATCGCTGCAACTCCCCAATGGGCTCGGAAGAGGCGAAGCTCGAGTCATACGTCCTCCGAAACATGACCCTTCAAGCCATGACCCTACACCTGCTCGCTTAACCCAGATGCCAGCCGCACCAATGTGTCGTAGGAAACACTGTTCAACTGATGACTGAAGTCAGCTTGCAGGCACCCGGCCCGCCACAAGGAGTCACTAGAGCGCGTAGAGCCAAGGAAAGCCCCCCGGCCAAACCCACCCCTAACCCGGACGACGCTGGGCCAATTGTGCGCTGCCCTATGGGACTCCCGGTCATGGCCGGCTGTGACACAGCAGTGCCTTAGACCGCAGTAGCACCTTTTTTTTCTAAGAGTGTACCATGAGTGTAGTGTAGCCATTAGCCAATGATGCTCCTCTGTCTCTCTTGGGAAAGGATGAACCGGAGTTGAGGGTGAGGAGGAGGTTATTCAGTAGTAAACACAGTATTACTGTCCGCTCAGGCAACATTTAACATTACATAGACATTATTTAATGGAATAACACCAGCTGTGTAAGAACAATAATAAATACTGTATCAATCACTGTTCATTTTAGTTTTCCAAGAAAATACAGAAAAGTGAGTATAGAAGTGCTCCATAACGGCATGTACTTAGTTTAACCAGGAGAGACCTGCTGTAATCCATCATCCCAGTAACTGAGGGGAACATGGTTGTGGTTTGGATCAAAAGTCTGTTTTCTTATTTTGATTAGTTTTCCCCAAAATTACACAGTATTGAACTCTCTTTGCCCTGTTTTTGGTGGTTTATACAAGTAATGATTATCAAAACACACAAACAACTTATGTAAAGATGCAAACTGAAGATAGCTGGCCTGTCTTACTGTAGGGGAGGAGAGCAGAGATTCCTGTCTTTATGAAACTAGCGGATCCAAATTGACTTTGGTCCACCTTTTAACTTATAGTTCCTTTTTTCATTTTACTCTTTGAGGTAAATGGGAATATGCACTAAATGTATTTATTTATTAGATATAACAATGCAGATAGGGACCATTGCTTAAATGACCTGTCCGCTGTAAAATCATGTGTATTTTTTGTCTGTATTACAGTAGGCAGTACTTAGTTTATTAGTAGATGCGCTTTTATTGTCCAAACACAGGGGCTCAATGTTAAATTCTGTATTTGTATTTTTTTATTCTGACAATTCTGTGTGCACTTGCCTAGCCGAAGCAGAATATACTGTCCATCATAAGACTGTAGCAAACGTAACTTTAGAAATCTTGTACATTCTTTTAATTTGATGTTTATTTATGTCCATTTAACTAATAAAATCATTACTTTTATATATAGGTTTGACGGTTGTTCGAATTTTCTTATCATGAATGCATAACGCATACTATGAATCGTGGATAATGTGTCACATCATCCTTTACAGACTTGAACTGAAGGTTTTTAAAATGAGTTAAATATTATATGTGACCAAACCAAAGGTCTCTCCAGCTCCAGCTCCAGCCATTATGCCATATGTTGTAACCCTCATCTTTACCCTACAGCTATTGTCATATGGTTAGTACTGAGCAATCATCTGAAATGTCGGTTATTTTTCCGTTTTAAAATAGCTGATTGACTGACGCTGTTCATTTATTTGAATTCCATTTTGTTCCATTTTTTTTCTGTGAGCTCAATGTACCGGGCACATTGAGCTGCAATTTCCCTAGAGATAAATCAGATCATGCCCAAACTGTGCAGTGTAGTGGGGAGTTGCCAATGTTCTACATACTTTAGCCCAGAAAATATAATAATGAACTACAATGACCATAATCCATTGTGCGGCTACTTGTCCGGTCTATGTTTCTTTTACACCTGACACGTAAGAGACAGAAGAATGTGCGATCAAGAGGGGGTACAAAGACAGCAGTTGCTTCGTAAGGTATTGGTATTCAGCAGTCATAAAAGTATGCCTTATTTACTTTGAAGAACTACTAAAATAGTGATTTTGTCAGACAGCATAGGCAGCTGTGATGGATGATTTGAAGGAGTCAGGCGCAGGGAGTCGTGACAGCAGCAGCTCTATAGAGATGAGATGATGACTTGGAATGAAATAATAAAGTAATCAAATAAAACAAATGTAATATACACAAAAACTGAAATATTTTATTAATGTAGGCCTAAAGTAATGTGAATAACTGATGGTTAATATGTGATAAGCAGTCATGGGCAGTCACTACCATCGAGGACTTTTATTAATTGTTTTATTTTGTGTTAAATAATTCAACCCACATAATGCATAGTGCATTTCATGTAAAAATATATATATATCAAACCGAACCAACCTCAAAAAGCACTAATCACTCAGCACTACGTATGGTGTAACCCTCGTCTTTACCCTACAGCTATTGTCATATGGTATAACCCTCATCTTTAACCTACAGCTATTGTCATATGGTGTAACCCTCATCTTTACCCTACAGCTATTGTCATATGGTGTAACCCTCGTCTTTACACTACAGCTATTGTCATATGGTGTAACACTTGTCTTTAACTTACAGCTATTGTCATATGGTATAACCCTTGTCTTTACCCTACAGCTATTGTCATATGGTGTAACACTTGTCTTTACCCTACAGCTATTGTCATATGGCGTAATCCTTGTCTTTACCCTACAGCTATTGTCATATGGCGTAATCCTCGTCTTTACACTACAGCTATTGTCATATGGTGTAACACTTGTCTTTAACTTACAGCTATTGTCATATGGTATAACCCTTGTCTTTACCCTACAGCAGGGGTCAGCAACAGGCCAAAACTGGCCTGCAAGGGATTTTTTGGGACCCCCAAAGTTTTTGGTCAAAAATAGACTGTAAAATCCCCAGGAATTCAGCAAAAAATGTGTTTAATTTAGGAAATATGTTCCCAAGTATTCCCACAAATGAAAAAATAGATAATAAAGAGATTGTATTTGAAAAGAACCACGATCGTATGTGTATGGGATATATACAATTGAAGTCAGAAGTTTTTCAACCACTCCACACATTTCTCGTTAACAAACTATAGTGCATGACAAGTAATTTTTCCAACAATTGTTTACAGACAGATTATTTCACTTATAATTCACTGTATCACAATTCCAGTGGGTCAGAAGTTTACATAAACTAAATTGACTGTGCCTTTAAACAGCTACACCAGATTTTCCAAGGATTAAATGTCAGGAATTGTGAAAAACTGAGTTTAAATGTATTTGACTAAGCTGTATGTAAACTTCCGACTTCAACTGTATGTAATGTGTGTGTATAGGATATGTGGGTGGTTGTAGTGTGTTCCTGGGGTATGTGACCAAAACACAGTGAAGCTGGTTCTCCGCTCTGAGAGATGTTTAAAACCCCCAAAGGTCGATGTCTGTGGAAATCTAATTAGCATAATAAAACAATCCCATACAAATCTGTCAGTTAAAGCTAAAGAGCTGTTTTTTTGCATTAGATGAGTGTCAGTCCACCGCATCCGGCTATGTCGCACTTCCATATCTGCGGTGAAAGGTGACAGAGCTATAGCGGTGATTGTCAGACCATGAGACATCCCGAAAATCGGTCTTCTCACAGAATTGTATGTAGTGTCTGAACGGTTTGGTCTACAAAACTATTATGAAAAGATGAGACTCTCACGAACACGATGGTGTTCTCCGTTTTGCTCTACGACCCACAAGTGTCTTGGGACTCGTCTGAAGTCGGTACAGGCGATCTGCCAACTTCTGTCTGTAGCGTCCGAACAGTTTGGGCTACACACTAATATGACCCCTCTGTGGAAAGGTGAGACTCTCACGAACACGTACATGTTTTGCTCTAGGATGCCCACAGGCCTCACAAGACTCGTGTGAAGGTCCCCCGGTACCAGTTGAAAAAATGAATGGAAGTACAGTACCAGTCAAAAGTTGGGACATACCTACTCATTCAAGGGTTTTTCTTTATTTTTACAATTTTCTACATTGTAGAATAATAGTGAAGACATCAAAACTATGACATAACACATATGGAATCATGTAGTAATCAAAAAAGTGTTAAACAAATCAAAATGTAATTTATGTT